TTTTTTTTTTTTTAGTATCATAACAGAAACCAGAATCTCACTGTATTTTTTAATCTTTCATTGGCATGCTTATTCACACCACTGCCGTTCGTTTGTTGAAACGGTTTAATGAACCTTCAAAAAAGTGTAGTAAAAGAATCTTTACAGTTGGCTTTCACCTCTTACTAACAAATTTAAGAGAGTTGTTAACAAAAAAGTTCTTAGCGTTTGTGACTTAGCTAGCCACTGTTAATGATCATGAATACCTAGCGGTTACTTGTAAACCAACGCCTTACTTGGCAGCTACAAGAGCAGTTTTAATGCCTCACCTTACTAGACAATTACTGTTGTTTTACCTTAACAAAAGTTACATATATATTCCTGAAAAACAATTTTCTCGGTAATTGATAAAAGAAAAATTTTAGTTCATATTGATGGGAGAAGTCAATGATGCTCCGTTATTTGTCTATCTATCCTTCGTTGCGTTCGCTTTCATATTTCTGTTTATGCTTTTCCTGAAACTTTACATCACTTTCAGGTACGTAATTCAAATTACATTTAACGAATGCAAGTATTGGTTTCCCAAACAGTTTTGACATTTGGATAATAGTTGTTGAAAAAAGTCTTAATCCAATTTTGGTTCATTATTTAGAATAGGAAAAGAAAGTTATTGATAATAAAACGTCAAAAGCTTGTTCTATCATATTTGCCACCACCTTTTAATTAGGTTTTAAAAAGTTTATTAAAGGTTTTTAAAGTATTATTATATAATAAGTCGTGAATAATTTTAATTTATACATGAATATAAATTCAAGTTATTCTAATCATTAAAAATAGCAAGAAAGCTTCAAAAATAACATCCCCAAAAAAGACTAGATATTTTCAGCAGTCGCGGACTCTGCAAAGGCAACTGTGGTAGATCTCGAACAAACACTGAAGCAGAAAATACCAGAAGTCGGGCAACTGGTATTGTTACGCATCAGTCTATGCCACTGCCAGGTTTCTATGCATTTCTATATTGGTATTTTCAATTCTTACAATATATCATTGCTGCTGCACTGCTTTTCGTTAACAAAATAATATTTTATTATCTAATAGAGTAACAAATAAAATTTTTAATGGGAACGACTTTCTAAGACATGTAGTTAAGATTAATATTACGCTATTTTTATAATTGATTACGTTGAAAAACTGAACTTGAAAAATTAGGGTAAACAAGAATAGCATTATTAATCAAAGTACTCTCAGGTTCATATCCCGTGTATGGTTGCGAAAGCAACATACGCTATCCATACCCAGTGATCAACCGGCCGTCTGCAACAGGACCAATATCAGAAACTATTCCCGCATCTCTTTTCACTTCAGATGTCCCACCACCGGTGATAGCGCACTGTGTCACGTCAACTTCATTCTTGCCTCCACCGCCACCATATTCTCAGCACGATCGTTATCCGCCGGTTGAGGTTATCGTTTCCCTGCAATATTCCGGCACTGACAATAAATCCTCTACTGTAGTGGTAAACTAAAAGAAATAGTATAAAAAGCGAGGAATACATTTTAATCAGTATATGTAGCAAATTCGGGCAAAAAAAAACCGATACCAAAACATATTCGGTTTTGATTTCGTTTAGAAGTTTCAAAAATAACTTGAAGGAATGAATCATTACTTTTGTACGCCAGGAACTTCAGAATTTGTGGTCGTAAACGATCATTAATTGTTTTCAACATTCGGAATACCTATGAGAAAAATGTTCACAAGACGATATGATAACTCAGTTTAGAGGCTTGCTAGATGTACTGTAATAGTTACCAGTAAACCTTTTCGGTATTTAACTTTTAATAGCCTTGTATTATAGGGGAAAATTTAGCTTTATGAACTGTTTGTAACAGAAAACAAATCAATTTTTTCTGTACATTTTTTGACTTTTTATTCATTGCTTAAACAGAATATATCCCTGCTGCAAAGCACCCACAATGCCAAGTGTTTAAGGTTGTTATGACTCAATGTTTACAGATTGCAAACAGTTCGAGGATTCAATTAACAAGGAGCTTTGCTAAGGTTACAAACGATATACCGCCGGTGCAGTAGTAATTAACAATTGTAGTAGGTGTCAAGTGTTCCAAATTTTTATGGTTACTATGTTTGTAAATAAGAAAATTATTGAGATGCCTTTAAAATTAGGTTTTCTTATATTGGTTTCTTTTTCCATTGATTGTTTTCTGCCACCTTTATTTTACTGTTGTCCGTAACTAGTATTTGGAAATCAACTTTTATTTAACTAAGTTCAGTTGTCAAGAGAAATAATCATTTCTTGCATAGAGAAAAATTGTATACCATTGT